CATCTGAATTTGGGGGGTGGACACAATTCAGCGCATAACATTTGGCATTTCCAAGAGGGTTGTTTTTATGTAAGGAATGCATGAAAGTTTTAAAAGCCTGTATTCCAGGCTTGTCTCTGAATATGTGACATCTTAGACCTTTCAGGAGAATGTTTTAGAGATTACAGTTTCCTCCACCCCAATATATTCTTCCCTTCTTATATAGGAAGAGATTGTCCTATATACTTTTTATTTGGCTTTTATTTGGGTTCAGGTCCCCTGACCATGAAGACTACATTTCTCAGCCTCTCCTGCAGCAGGTGTGGCCATGTGATTGCTTAGATTCTAGACCAGAAATCTCCAAAAGAACTTTCTGTGATGATGGAATTATCCAAACAGCAGCCACTAGGCACATGAGGCTGCTGAGCACTTCAAAGGTGGCTGGTGTCTTTGAGGAATGAATGTGAAATTTTATTTAATTTTGGTTACTTTAAGCTTACGTTGAAATAGTTGCATGTGGCTAGTAGCCTCAAACTGATCCGCACACCTCTAGACAGTGCTCTTTGCATGGAAGTGCTGGGCACAAGTTCCACCCAGTGCCTTTAGCGGAGGGGCACACCCTTCTCCCCCTTCTCCATTCTTCTCCATGGATGTGGGTGTGCCGGACAGAGCCCCATCTCCACAGTGAGGATCAAGGCCACACCTTTGGACCATGAAACCACAGGCTTGGGGGACGTGGAGTCTCTAGGGACATCAAAAAGCAGAGCTGTCATTAGTCCCAGGCTACTAACACAGACTTCATCTCTTTGGGAGAAAAATACTCTTGTTTAACCCACTGACATTTGAGTTTTCCTGCCCTTTTTGATTAATCTAATCCTAATTAATACAAGAGGTAAAAGCCAAGTATAATTCCTCAGCATCATTAGTGATGGTAATAGATTAATACTTTATAGCACTCCAAATCCTCACTGTCACCATTAAAATGAACCACTTTGCAAACAAGAGGCAGAGTTCTTGACTTAGGGAACCCCAGTCTTCTATTCCCAGGATTTTGAGAGGGTGCTGTTACCGGAGCCCCTTCCATCTCGCCCCCATTGGAAGTAACACCCAACATTGACAAGATGTCCTGGAAATTTCTCTTTGGTAAAAAGCTTAGGGCAATTTGCCAGGGTCCCACTCTAGGGTAATTTGAGATATTATCTGAATTATCTGTTGATATTTCCTGATTACAACTTAAATGGTCTAAGTTTGCCTAGGATGAGATCACTTGCATTTGAGGAGCGACTTCACTTGGTGTGACATGCTTTGAAAGCTATCTAGCTGCTCCAATATTTGCCTTTGGAATTACTTGCCCAAACAGCCCCACAATGGCCTTGTTAAGAACCAAGGAGCTCTGCAGAAACAGCACTGGGATGTGGCCAAGCGAACTGCTGCTGAGAAGGGAGTCCACGGGAGGGGCAGGATGGTTTTTGTCCCCGCCCCATTACATTTTAGCTGGCAGAATTACAGCAAGCTGTGTGTGTTAAAAAGCACTATTCTTTTGTCAAGCTGTTTTAACAAGGATTTGGTCTTTAAATAGTAATCGCTCATTAAGTGCATTTCTCCCTACAGTCTGGAACCTGCTTGGTCTCCTTGTATACTTTAGAATATACAGATATGTAAGCCAATAATATTTCTGCTTTAACTGAGATTATGGATATGTTAAAAAAAAAAAAAAAAAAAACCTACCTTGGGACTATGTAGGAAATGCATGTCTTGACTGTGGTAGGACTTGGAGCCCTATTTAAGTGTAATTACAATCCGACACCATTTGTTCCTAATAGCCTAAGCTGTTTTAATGGGATAGCATATGGTTTGTGCTTACAGTGTCACAGGCAGAAAGATGGGACTTGCTGGGAGAGTGACTCACTTGAACAACAATTTACCTGAATCTAGTGCTTTGTGGTTTATAAAGCATAGATATATATTTAGAGATATTTTTTAAAATCTTTGCAGAAATCCCTAGGGTTAAAAAATTCTGCTTTTAAGTGACGTTATTTAGCTCATGAGGCCAGATCTGTCTCTGCTTTGTCAAGCATTTAAAAACTTCACTTAAAGCAAGTTGGATAAAAACCTATGTTTGCAGATGGCTTAAGAAGCCTGGTATCTAGTATTATAATGACAGTTAATGTTGGTTAACTGTTGCTTTTTTGATTTGGTCAGCAAGGTCCTTATTCACTTTAGGTTTTTAAGACCTGGTAACCTGCTAGAGAAAAGTTTCCATGTAAATCCCCAAATATATAATATCTTTCTAGGTTTTGGTAAGAAAATTGGAATTACAGGATAGTTTTGTGACTAAAGGATATTTTTCTGTGTTATCATTTTGATAGCTGTAAAAGGAAATACCATGGGGATAAATTTAGTTCTGATAAGCTTTAAATTTATTATAAAATTTAATATCCTTTGTTCACTTTTACATTCTGTTGTCTTATTTAAAAAGAAAAAAAAGAATAGGGGCCAGCCCGGTGGCGCAGTGGTTAAGTTCTCACGTTCCGCTTCAGCAGCCCTGGGTTCGCTGGTTCGGATCCCGGGTGCGCACATGGCACCGCTCGGCAAAAACCATGCTATGGTAGGCGTCCCACATATAAGGTGGAGGAAGATGGGCACGGATGTTGGCTCAGGGCTAGTCTTCCTCAGCAAAATGAGGAGGATTGGCAGATGTTAGCCCAGGGCTAATCTTCATTAAAAAAAAAAAGAGAGAGAGAGAGAAAGAAAGAGAGAGAGAGAGAAAGAGAGAAAGAGAGAAAGAATAAAAGATTTCTAAGCCTCTTAGTGAAACAGGCTTGTTACAGGCTATTTTTTTTAACACACCATCTTTTATACTGCCAAATCTTCCTCCAAAGTACTGTGGATTAACCCTTTCTACTAATTTTGAAGCCACCTCTGTGCTTATGTTACCAGCCACAAGCAGGTTTGTTTGCCCAATGCGCTACAGAAGAACCAGATGCTGAGGCAAAGGTCTTTTGCAGAAAGAAAGTTTATTTCTTTATTGCAGGACAGCCAAGCAAGGAGACAGGAGGCAAAACTCAAACCTGTCTCCCCAAGTGGCTTTTGTGTGGGATATTTACTGGGGAAGTAGACAGTAGGAGGGAGGGAGTAGGAGGGCATTGGACGCTGAAGTTTTAAGAATCTTCTGTGCAGGCATGACTGTCTTTCATATTTCCTCATGGGTCACATGTGCGAATTTGGGGGGTTCTATGTGTTGCATGCAGTGGATATTTAGTCTGTGACATCTAGTTTACGACTGGTCATTTTAGCTTCTCAATGCACCTGCATGATGTTTAGTCAGGCTTGGTGGCAGTGCGGGGGCGTTGTCAGCAAGTTTTTTCCTTATCTGCAGCGTCCTTGCTATTCTGCAAGACAAACTCAGAAGCTTCGGTTAATCTGTTTCTTACTTTAACCTCGTGGGTGTGGGGTACAGTTTCACTTGCTGGTGTTGGCTAGTCTCTTTTTTCTTCATGCTGTGCAGCTGCAAATTGAGTACCGTTCCTCATGTCAGTCTCCGCTCAGGTGCCCAGAATGGCTCTTTATTAGCTATTATAGCAAATAAACTTTTCTATTTGACATTTAAGACCCTCCTGACATTCTCACCTCAACTGTGCCACACCCTCATTTTATCCTACCCACCTGTTGGTCACTTCCAGAACGGTTCTTTTCCCTAAAAATCTGGATAAAATGTGTCCCAGTTTATGGCCAAAGTTTATTTCATGTGATTTCTTCATTTTTGGACCAGTGCATATCCACCTAGAATTCCATCCTTCACAGCCTCTGTCTCTAACAAAACTGAACTCCCAGCATAACTGAGCCTTTCAGTGTCCGGAGTTGAGCATCAAAGGCCCAAAATGATAAGATGGAAGGATGTCCCCTTGGGAGAGGAACAAAGACAGTTTCTTCTTGGTTCCTATGACAGAGCAGAACGCTCCAGCCTGTGTGCCCCAAATGGGCTCTGGGTGTGCCTTTCCCCCCAAGAGGACAGAGACTGGGCTTATCACCCCGACCCCAGTGAGCTGTACAGATATTTGTTTCCTGTATGTCCTGTGACCTGAGGAAGGCTGGGTGCCCAACTTGAAGGCCAGTATCAGTCTGTTTTCAGCTTATCTTTCCAACCTGATCTACTGACTGGACAAATGTCTGTGCTCCTTAACTCACAATTGTCCTCAGACACCTTTTAGGTGGATCCGACCTTGCTAATTGTGTGCTGGATGCGTCTGCCATCGTTTTCCATGAGCACCTCTCCTGACATCTAGTCTTGTAAATAGCCTGAAATGTTAGGGTCACACTGGACTTTTGTTTATCCCTCCACCCCTATGTTTAACTTGGTTGGATTTTCATTCCCAGTGATAGTGACTTTTGTTCCTTTCTATACATTGCCACTGCCATCACCTGCCCCTTTTGGCTCTGCCACTCAAGGTAAGTGATTTCACAGCCTGGGGTCTTGATTTCCTCATCCAAAAACAAAAGGAATCAAAAATCAGGTTTTTTACATGTAATTTTAGAATAAGACCTGTGTCTGGAAAGACAATTTTTTTTGCTTACAAATTGGGTAGAAAGCATATTCACTTCAAACCCCAGTTTTTTCATTTATGAAGTGTATACAGTTGTTCTCTGATAGAGTTGCTGTGAGCATTAAATGAGATTTGTCTTTGCAGTGTGACTTGCACAGTGCCAGGCAACTAGGATACAGACTGTCCCAAAAGCCTGTATGTAACCTTGTCACTTCACTATCTAGTATATGATTCTTACTCTGTGAAGAATTTCCTCACAACTGCCTCTCTAATAGTAATCTTTACTTTTTGTTTTAAAAAAATTTTGTACTTCTTAGGGGGCCGGCCCCCTGGCTGAGTGGTTAAGTTCATGTGCTCGCTTCAGTGGCCTAGGGTTCAGATCCTGGGCGTGGACATGGCCCTGCTCATTAGGCCATGTTGAGGCAGCGTCCCACATGCCACAACTAGAAGGACCCACAACTAAAATATACAAATATGTGCTGGGAGGATTTGGGGAGAAAAAAAAAAGCAGGAAAAAAAAAAAAGATCGGCAATAGCGTCAGGTGCCAATCTTTAAAAAAAAAAGTCATACTTTTACACTGAAGAAATAATCACAAGTGAACTGAGGTTAACCAATGTGAAATATAAGTTCTGAGGGAATGTAGGGAGACCTTATTTGGTGGGTGAGCGGATCAGGGAGGCTGTCACTGAGGAAGTGATGTTTGAGCTGAGACCTCAGGATTGCAGGAGTTTGTTTTGTGATAAAAGGCTTTAAGAGTATTCCAGGAGGAGGGGTGTGCAAAACCCTGGAGTAACAGTTGTGACCTAGGCCAAGACAGTAAAAAGCCAATGTAATAGGGTTCTCCAGAGAAACAGAACCAATAGGAGTTATATATATGTATATATCTCACATATATATATCACATACATATGTATAGAGAGATCGATTATAAGAAATTGGATCTCATGATTATGGAGGCCGAGAAGTCTCATGCTCTGTCATCTGCAAGCTGGTGACCCAGAAAAACTGGTGGTGTAGTTCTGAGAATCAGAGGGCCGATGGTGTAAGTCCCAGTCTAAGGGCAGGAGGCTGGTGTGCCAGCTCATTCACTCAGGCAGAGAAATCAAATTCTCCATTCCTTCATTCCTGTTTGTTCTGTTCAGGCCCTCAATAGATTGGATGATGCCCGCTCACACTGGGGAAGGCCATCTTCTTTGTTCAGTCTACTGATTCAAACGCTAGTCTCTTTTGGAAACACCCTCAGAGATGTACCCAGAGATGGCAGTTAGCCAAATATCTGGGCACCCTGTGATCCAGTCAAGTTGACACACAAAATTAATTATCACAGCCAATACGGCTGCCTCCAGAGGGGAAGAATCAGAAGGGGGGGTCTGTTGTTCTCTCCCTTCTTTGAACTTGTTTATCTTGGATTTTCTTTTGGCCAGAACCTACCTCGCTGTTTTATCTTGTTTCTTCACAAGATCCTAAAACTTTCAAACAGAGACTAACTGTGCTTCATTTCCAACTTTTGGAGAGAAGACCAGTCTTGTTTACTAGGTGGTAGATTCTTCCTATTAACTGTTGAGCTCCATGAGAGCAGATGCTGCTTCCATTGTGTTTACCGCCGTATCCCAAAACTCAGTACACAGCCTGGTACACATTCGATGTTTGTGCATATTTGTTGAATGAATGGCTTTTCCATCCAGCATTTACCAAGCCTACTCGTATCTTTTTTGATTATTTTCCTCCCTCTTGTTCCCTTTCCAACTCACAAAGATATATATATTTATAATCAAATGAAATGATTTTGGTTTCGACTCTTATTGGAAGTCTTATCTTGTAAGAATTAGCCAAGATTCCCGCCTAACTTAATAAACCAAGTTGAATTCTGCTGAATGCATTTTTGTGTTTTCTTGGTCTTATAATATTTGTGGTGTGATTCTGAATGTCATTTGGTCTTGGATGGTATGACATTCTAGGAAAGTACATATGATAGGCCTTGTTACTTTCTTCTTTTTTAATATTTGTGTGATTTTTACAAGCAGGAAACATGACAATAGTTCATTTTAGGTTTTATTAATGTTGGACATGGTCTCGTGAGCCATGGAAACAATAGTCAGAGAAAACTACCTATTGAGCTCAGATGTCCTTTGACTTCTTAATTGTGGCCACTTTTCAAAGAATGCGTTTTCTAAGTTTATTAGTTACTTGGATGGATGCTCTTGTCTTAAAATCTATTTTATGTATATTTTGTAAGTATTCTTAATTTTCTAACCCCACTTTAAAGGAAGAAGTCACTTAGGAGTTTCATAATTGGGAAGGGGTAGATTCTGGAAATGTTATGATGAACAAGACATGAAGGAGCAGTCTTACAAATCTTTGGTTTAGTAGAGTATTGAAGTCAGTTTGGAAGGGGATACAGATCTTTTCTTAGTCAAAAAATTTGATGGAACCTGTTTGGAAAAATTAGCAGTTTTGTAAAAACATCCATTGAGGGGCAACCAGGGATCTCCATATCCCATCTAATATTTGTGAAAGGAAAAAAAAATTGAGGTAGATAAGTTTTGAAAGCTGGCACATCGTGATTTGAATGCTAGTTACTGTTATTAACTTGCTAATATAATCTTGAGAAACTTAACTCTGCAAGCTTTAGTTTGCTCATCAGTTAAGTGAGCACAATGCTCCCAATATGGTAGGGTTTGGGGGTATGAGTATTAAGTGAGGTATATTAAGTGACTGCTACATAGTAGGTGATCATTAAGTGTCAAATTCCCTTCTCTTTCCCTATATGTAATATAAGCAGGGTTTAAATCAACAGAGTTCATATATGGTTGCAGACTAGCTTTGCCATACTAGCTTTAAGAAGTTTCAAATGGTTAAACTTGCTTCACTTCAAAACGCCATTTTTATCATTATTCATATTTTTTGGGGGCTGTATTTGCTAATGTTTTTGGTGGTGTCACACCATTTTCTGTTGGCTTAATTTATAATTCTACTTTCTCTTTGGCTGTATGCATACTATTTCATTTTGGGACCCGTTACACTGTCAGATTTTTGGCTTCACTCACCTTTCTTCCCTTCTCCTCTCTGGCCCATCTCCTCCGATTTTGGCACCGCTAACATAACTGGTCGCACACGTGCTGCAAGTCTACCCAATACATCTTTAATGGCGTAGTATTCCTTTTAATTTTTCAAAATGACAAGTTTATATTTCAAGTATGTGAAAATGCCTTAGAACTTCATGTTGCATACAGATTAGTGGACATTTTCAATCTTAACCAGTGCTGTGTAGCTGTGTTTTGATTTTTTATTTCTTTTTTATCTTTTCGTCATACACCTCATAGTTTTTGTCATCAATGACTCATTATTAAGAATTCTAATGAGTATGGCACTGTGCTGGGTCTTGTACGGAACAGTTTAAAGAAACCCTGTGCAATAAGTCCCCAATTCCTATGTGTTTATTCGAGGCAGAATTTCACAGACTATGAATTATTGTTAGGTGCTTGAATCTAAAACAAATGAGAGAGTGTGTAAATAGTAAACAAATAGACATGAGTGTCATTTACCAGAGACTAGACTTCTGGCTCCCAAGATATTACCTCCCTTCACTGTCTTCATTTTCTCTGAGTATCGAGATGTCAAGTTCCTTTCCATGTTGCCAGGAATAAGTGGTAGGCAGTTGTGCCATTTGAAAATAAGGTAACAAGTCCTTTGATGGGACTGGCCATTGCACCACCCGTGATAGTATCTTTGCAGCAGTGTTGCTTTATTCTTTTCAGTCCGTTCTCTCGAGAAACAGGCAGCAGGAGTGGATAGCAATGGATCAGGGGATCTCAGGACAAGAAGGAGGCAAGACACACCTCCCTCTGAGGAGACCAAAGCGGGATGGAGAGTCTGTCTGTCTTCTCCCTGGTAGCTGGAATATGAGTCAGTGACTATATGCAGCCAACTAGAAGCTTAATGCAGAAAATAGGAAACTTCAGGGAATGACTGGTGGGATTAGAGATGATTTGCTGTGTGGCTTTTGCAGAGCACAGAGTGATGGGGGAGTCCAGTGTTCCTATGCAGACTGCTCCTGTGGGCTGATCCTATCTGTGTCTGCCCTCCGTAGGTCCCTGCCAAAGCATGGTTCCCCAGTCTACCATTTATTGTTACCATTCTGGTGAATTGGTCTTCTATTTAAATTTACCAGGGTGCACTTTGTGATATTTGGAGCCAAGAATCTGAAGATAATAATCAGACAAATCAAACAACTAGTAGTAAAAACACAGACAAACCAGAGATTGGCTTAGGAAAAAATTTAAAAAAAAAAAAAAACAGCCAGAATGAGCCAAGGTAGATCCATTAGAGGTGAGAATGCAAGGTTAGGGCTGGAAGTTAGAAGACTTACCAAAGAAAAACACAAGTTTTGTTTTCCATTTCCAGGTCTTTGAGGAGTGGGATATTGTGATCTGTTCAGTCAGCATGATTTTCTTCCTAGTGACAAGGAGGACCAGGAATGAGAAGAGGAAGAAGAAAATGGCGACGCATTCTTTTAGGACATGGATAAGGATAGTCTTCCTGCCGCGGTGAGGAGAAGAACATGGATGGAGGAGGACTCCACATGGAGGAGTAACTGAAATGCTGAGCAGCTGATTGAATTCGGGTCCAAAGCAAAAATAGGATTTGAAGACAGTGCAAGAATTTTGTGCAGTGTTTTTCATTTGGCTTTTAAACTGATTCGAAATAAAATGAGATAAAAACTGTCTGCCCCAATCTCTTTATTTCTTTTCTTAAATATTGTTGGCCCAATGTGTGACCAAAATTTTCATATAGAAAATCTTGTCTCCAAAAAATGACAGGATACAGCTAATTATGTTTGTGTTCTCTACAAATCTTTTATTTTGTAGTCCCTTACCAATTATCTGCCACTCTCTATGCGGGAAGCTAAGGTAAGAGTTTAAAGAATACAGAATTTTAAGCTGAGAGGCCACTATGGTCATATCCTTTTCCACACAAACCATGCTCTCCCTCTCGACTTTCACTTGCACAACTTTGTTCCAATTTGGATTCTCTGTAAGATCCATCTTCATTTCCTCTGTTCCCATCAGACTTCTAGATTTCCTTGTACCTTTTGGCCAAACACCATTGTTTTCATCTTACTGAGTGGAACAGTAATGCTGTTCCATCTTTGGTACTAATTTCCTCTCCAGTACAGCATTGCTGAGCTGGAGAGCATGAGCATTTCCTTCCAGTTTCGAAGGGAGATTTGCTTTCTCAGCACCCTGCTGCAGTGGTGCTGAGATGGTTCCTTGTGGCTGCTTTCCACGTAAGGTCAGGTTTATGATGCAAGTGGCAAAGTAAACAAGCGGTTAATTCTGCAAGTCGCTGTGTTTTGCCACAAACATGCCTACCTTAGTGTATGGCCTCTGGGAGCACCCTTGCTTAACATCCTTCAGTTTCTAAAGGACTGATTTGTTCAGGAGAACTATTGGTAGTTGATTCTAGGAGTCAATTTTCTCTGGTATCTATTTGAGGAAATAAATCTCACTTCTCTGTTCCTTTCTTTAATTAACTTGCTTCTTTTGTCATCAAATCTTTGTTTAATAAGTCTATAAAGGATCTTCGGTGGTGTTAAGATGTCAATGCTTTTTGGGGACAATTTAAAGGATGACATCTAACGTGTCGGCTTTAGTAAAGATGCACTTTACTTAAGCAGTAGAAATGGAAGGAGCATCCACGGAATAGTCATCCTTCTGTAATTATGTATAATGATTACACTGTAAGGAAAACCTCTTCAGGGTTAGGAAACCAAGGGTCAGGCTCCACCTCTGCCGTCATCTACCTCTCTCCTGTAGGCAAGTTAGAGCAATATTCTGATGTCTTCCTTTGTCTGTAAGATGGGATCACATTTTTGCCTTCCTTTGTCACCAGACTGTTGTGGATGACCATATGGAATCATGAACGTGGCAGAGTGGTAATCCCATTCCTGCCCAGGGTGGGCCCCAGCCTGGCATTAGATTGCTCTGCTCTGCCTTTGCGGCCTGGTCTGCAGCCCTCCTTTACGTTATTAGTGCTGCAGTGAAATTTGATTCCATGCACACACAGTAGCCTTCTCACAGCGTGCTCTCTCCTCTCTGTTTATGCTCCCTGGACTCTATCTGTCCCTCAAAACTTGACCCATCTTCCCAGCCACACCTTAAATGGCTTTTCCCCTATCAATTCTCCCTTGTTCTTCCTAACTTGTAGTAGCCTCTTAGCAATCTCTGGTACTATATCACCTTCTCATCACAATACTGAATTATAGTTGGTCACATATGTGTCCTGTATTGCTAACTAGATTAAAATTGAGGGTCGGGATCCTGTGTTTTGGCATCTGTTCCCACAATGCACGGTGCCCTTGTATGGACTGGGAGTCACTGGATGCTGAATGGAGCGGCTTTGATAAATCAGGCACATCCCCTGGCCTTAGTTTCCTTGTTTGCATAATACTTTGGATGGTCTGTGATCCTGTGTAGGAAAGTAAGTTGGACATCCTCCACTCTTACTAGAAACAGTTAAGGAGTGACCATCCTGGACAGCCAGGTGCCAGGTGCTGCTTTTGCAGTAAAATCAGGGTGCTCATCATGTAGTCAGGTAGACCAGTGCATGAACACACACTGTACAGTGAGAAGAGGGACAATCTCATACGTGTGAGAATTATGGGCATTCAGGGGATGGCCCTGTGGAGTAGTGTGGCTAAGTTCATGCGCTCTGCTTTGGTGGCCCAAGGTTTGCCAGTTCGGATCCTGGGCGCGGACCTACACACTGATCATTGAGCTATGCTGTGGTGGCATCCCACATAGAAGAACTAGAATGACTTACAGCTAGGATATACAACTATGTACTGGGGTTTTGGGGAGAAAAAAAAAGGGGGGGAAGATTGACCACAGATGTTAGTTGAGGGCCAATCTTCCTCACCAAAAAGCATATTTAAAAAAAAAAAAAGAATTATGGGCATTCAGTGAAGAGCGAATAATCCAGGAATAGAGAAGAGAGCTAGTAAATTCTGAGGCAACGGGTCTTAAAGGACGAGTGAGCAAGAGTTTGCTGGGAAGGTGGGTGGGAAGTGCCTCCAATAAGTGTACAGGAGTCCAAGAGTCTGCTGTGTGTGGAAACTGGGAATGGCTGTGTATGGATATACTGAACGCGGCACGCAGAGCGGGTGAGAATGCAGGTGGAGATGCCCTTTGGTCATATGGAAATGACCTTGGAGAGCTTGGGCTCCTCAGGAGAGAGGTGAGTGGGTGCTGGAGGAGCGTCTATTCCAGATCCAGCTGATGCCATGATTGGATAGGGAAATGGCCATAGCAGAGGATCTTCCCTGCCCTTCAACCAGCAGAAGAATCACTGGGAAGCAACCTAAAATTCAGAGCCTCAGCCCCACTTCCAACAATTCTGATTCCATAGGTCTAGGGTGGAGCTCAGGATCTGTGTTTTAAGAAATTATCCAGGGCCAGCCTGGTGGCACAGCGGTTAAGTGCACACATTCTGCTTTGGTGGCCTAGGGTTCACCGGTTCAGAACCCGGGTGCGGACATGGCACCGCTTGGCAAGCCATGCTGTGGCAGGCATCCCACATGTAAAGTAGAGGAAAATGGGCACAGATGTTAGCTCAGGGCCAGTCTTCCTCAGCAAAAAGAGGAGGATTGGCAGGAGATGTTAGCTCAGGGCTAATCTTCCTCAAAAAAAAAAGAAAAGAAATTAACCAGTTGATTTTGACACAGGTGGTCAGTGAACTGCCCTTTGAGTAAACGATGAATTGTCCCTAAGAGCTTTGTAAACCGAAGGAATTATAAAATTTGCACATTATCCATTTGTCATGGAGAGGGAGATCATGGATAGCTCTGTTCAGATTCTCAAAAGGATCCATAAATTCCCAAAAGCTTAAGAATCACTAGCTAGAAGAAAAGCATGAAAAACAGAATGAGAACAGTGCTATGGCAGGAATCCTAGAGAACAGCAACCTTTAAAGAAGCGTTTTGTGACACAGGGAAAGTTGGTGTTTTCAGGAAGCTTACAGTAAGCTTACAGTAAGCTTACTCAAAGAGCATCCCATAAGAAAGAGAGATATCCAGGCCATGCATCATCAAATGTCAAATTACACACTGAGAGGATTAAAACCAACTATATGGTGACACTTTAAGTAATTCCAGTGACCACAGCTTCTTACAACAACTCAGCCATATGAAAAAAAGAAAGGTTTCTTGAGAAGCAGAGCTCCACTCTCCTGGCTTTATATTAAAAATATACCAATGAATAGTTTCTGAGGCAAATAGGGCTCATCCCAGGCATATTATGAAGTCCTTGATCTTGATGTTATTTTATCTTTTGAACCTGTTCCCCATCAACTTTTCAACTATGTCTAATTAAACTATGTCTAATGTCCCTAAGTCATCTTTATCAAAATAAGAAATATCTCATCAAGTTATGTATACTTGGGGATTGTTTTTGTGAGTCTGTACATGATAGGTCTAAATAAGTATTTTATGAAGTGAATGTGGCTAGAGAACTGGTTGTATGAGTCTATTTTCATATAGTGTTTGAGTTTTACATTTTGAGCCTCTTTCTTGTAGACTGAAAAATGTAAACTGATTCAGATAATTCTGGACATGAGTCAGCAGATGCTGAGAGTGGGGTAGGCTGAGAAGAGTCCTACTGAAGTCATATTCTACGTTCTCAAACGATCCTTTTGGCAAATATGATGTAATCTCTTTGGGGTTTACTTGGACAGGAACCATCACCCCAAATCAGTCCCAGCCCTCACAGGATTGAGAATAGTGGTGCCTGGTCCTGTGACTTTGTATTCTTTGCTTTTCCTAGGCCAGGAGACTGGCCAGCCCTCACACAGACGTTCATATCCAGAGAGTTTCTTCTCCCTCCAGTCACTACCTCTTCCTAAGCCTTCTCTTTAACATTGAGCTCAGCCTCTTTTTGCTTGTATTATTTAACATTTTATTTAGGTTTTATAATCAACACCCCCTCAGCCATACATCTGGATACATACCAACGCATTTTAACGTCCATTATGTTTAAAGAATTATGTTCATTATGATAAAGAAGTACTATATTTAAGAGAACAGAGAGAAAAATAATAAAATGTATAATCTTAGAATGGAAATATTTCATTAGAGGCCATCTAGACCTGAAGTTGTCAAATATTGTTAAGCATTAACTTTTTATGGTACAATTGTTTTATTGCCTATAGAACCCCAATATTTAAAGTAAATGAAAGTTGAATCTATCAGGTTAAAGCAGGGTTTTAGGAAGGCCTGCCGTGGGTTCACCTTCACAATCTAAGGGGGCTGAGGGTTCTCAGGATCACAGTTTGAAAAACCATTGATCTGGTTCATCCATGCTATTTCATATAGATCAGAACATGGAAGACCAGAAAGTAAAAGGAGCCAACATTCATCTACTTACTAGATAGATAGGTAGATGAGTGGATAGGCAAGTAGGTAGGTAGGTAGATAGACAGACAGATATATAGATAAATAGATACACAGATAGCTTAATATATATGTGTACATATAAACACACACATATCTACAAAGTCATTTAATCCTTAAAACATTAGATGGCTTTACAGATGACTAGATGAGGAAAGCTTTTAAGTTGATAGGGTTGGGACTCACCTCAGGTCTTTTTGGTGGCAAATCTACATTCTTTCCATTGTATTTCCACACTGCTGACTGGTTGCCTTACTCAAAGCCACACACAGGCACGGGCAGGACTGGGACCAAGACCCTCTGTGCTGGTCCAGGGTTGTTCCCTCAGACTACCTTTTCTCTCTGGTCAGTGGCAAAATAATACCTACTAAAAAAGGAAATAGAATATTGCGTAAACTCTCAATTAAAAAAAGAAAGACATTCCAGCTGCATTGACATTGAGAAGGGTTAATATTCTTAGTTCCCTATATTTTAGCAACTAAATGGTCATGACAGTAAGGAAAGCTGATTCACAATAATTTTTATGCTATGTCAGTATTGCTCTCAGCTTGAAGAGTATGGCACAGAATCCAGCTTCCTAATTAAAAAAATTACATAATGAATTATTTTTCTTCAAAGTATACTTTCTTCATGGCCTGAGAATTGAAGTTTGATATTGAATAAATATTCACTACTTTAACGTTTCATGAATTTGAAAGATATATAATAGGTAATCATTAACACTCTTTTTGTTTAGAACCTAAAATCAAACACAACGAACTGAGGCTTTAAATCAGAGTTCCAGTATGATCACAGAAAATCTGTATGCTTTTTGTTGACTTATGCTGAGGTCTGCCAAATAACCGCCTTATTATGCAGAATCTTAGAATCATAGGCCATGGATATCTTAGATTCTTGCATCAAGTTGCTGATCCTCTGGTTTTCTTTTCATGTGGACCATTTAGGGACAGGAGATCTTCAGGATGATTTTTTGTTCTTTCTCTTGGCTCCCACAGCATTTTTCATATTTCTCCCCTTTTAACTACTTCCTGCCTCCCAACCTGTCTTCCCAGAGGACAAGAACTTCTTTTCTCTGTGTATCCCCTCTAACTCCTTCCGCTTTCTCCCCAGTGCCTGACATAATGCCTGGCACATAGCGAGAGGGAGGGAGGGAAAGAGATGCCATAAATCAGATCAAAAAGGCAGGAACTCTAGAATCAGGATTTTTTCTTCCCTTGGTATGGCCAAAATGTTTAATGAATAGAGTCCATTAGTATTTTTTTTCCTCCAGTGTTCCTTTCTAATAAAGACAGAGCAGTATGGGTTTTCTCCTTACTTTTGTTACAAAAAACTTACAAAATTTCATTAAACCCAGCAGATATGTAATGAGCAGCAGGCATCATTCTAGGACTGGGGCTACAGAGGTGAAGAGAACATCGTCCAGGAGCAAGGAGCTCATGGTGTGGTAGAAAAGACAAACATGCCCACACTCTTATCGCTGTATGAGTAATAAGGACATCTAGAAGATTTATATATTTTGTAGAGATTGTGCCCAGGAAAGAGTGATTGATTTTATCTGTGAAAAGCAATCAGTAATAGGTACCCAGGAGAGGTGGCATGTGAGGTGGGATCTGAACAGTGAACAGGAGTCTGCCAGCCGTACTCTGGGGTAGAGGTGCAGGGACAGCGTGAGCAAAAGTGTGGCATGTGGGCAGCATGGTCACTGGGGTGAATCTACAGATAGGAATTACCAGAGTAAACTCTCAAAGGGAAGTGGTGGCAAGAAATGAAGATAAAGAAGTCGGAAGGGAGCAAATCCAGCAAACCTCATATGTCACATGATAATATTTGAATATTATCCCATGGGCAATGAGGAGACAATGAATTTAGAAGTAGGGAGAAACTATTTTCAGCTGTGTGTTTTACAATAGGTCAGCTTGCTGGTAGTGTGTGGAATATACTGGAGAGGGCAGAGTCTAGATGTGAGATGATGAGTCAAGTTCAGCGGGGACATGAGCTGAAACTCAAATTGTGGTATGGTGGGAGTAGGAGACTGACAGGAAAAACATTTAGGAAGTTGTTTGGGGGAGAAGGTGTTGGGTCGAGAGGTGGCAGACTCACAGGGTTTTGGCTTGAGCCTCTGATTTGTTGTGCCATCAACCAACATAGGCAATATGCATAAAGAGATGCCTATCACTTTAATTTCCTGTTTCAGATAGCACGCACCAACATAGTTGTGGATTTCTTTGATGTTCATCATTTTGTGACAGTGAATACACTTTCACATTCACCACCAAGTTCAACCTTCACCATTTCCCTGGGGGATAGGTAGCAAATATTACAAAAAAGCCTTATGTCCTATAGGGCGTGCATAAGTCCTCAGGGATTTTCCTATGATCAAAATTGCCCCTGAAAATCCTATAGGGGAGTCCTGGGTTGAAGACTGGAATACTGTTTCTTTGTAAGTCTAACGGACCTTCCTCCAACTCCCCCGCCACCCCTGACATTGAAATAGGTTGCTTTTTCCTCATTTGAGCACAAATTAGGTAGGAGACTTGGAGTTTGGACTCATGTTTTATAAAAATGTAGATCTTTAAACATGAGAATTATGCTGAACCCAACGACACGTGCACACCAAGAAAGGTATGAAGGATGAAGGAACAGTGGGAGTGGAGGAGGCCAGTTAATATTTCTCAGTTCCATCTCATCGGGGCATATGATTGTTAGGCTCCTGGACTAAATGAAGGACTTCTCTATTAAAACCCTCTCCCTCATTGTCACCGTTGAAATCATGTACATTAATTGTACCCACGATGTGAGCACTGCATATTTTCTTTTCATACAGTGAGCAAGACACACAGTCTGTGACTTGTCCAAAGACAAAATAGGTAGCTGACAGATCCAGGACTTAATGTATCCTGAGTCTCAGATTCCAACTGAGTTGAGTCAGTCTCACAAGTTACCAATTTTTGTTTTGGAATAAGTACTCCTAATGATCAGAAATTGGAATGAATGTTTTATCAAGAGGATATAAGAAATTATATTTACTTTTTCCTTATAACTTGATTCTACCAAGTGAATGTGATATATAGAAGAAATGTTCATTGAGGGAAATACATCAACTGAATTTGGGTTAATCAGCATCCAGTGAAAATAAACAAATGGCTGGCTGTTTGAAGCTGAATAACAGCTGTACTGCATATTGGTGAGTTCAGGAGTTTATTTTATCAGCTGTCCCAGATAATGATTTTATGCTAATAAAATCATCAAGAGACGAATTTTTAAATCATGCTGAACTGGCAGGAGCACTACTGGGCATAAAATGAAATTCCATTTTTTAATTAATTTCCTGGGTATCTTTGACCAATCCAGGCTTGTTCTCTACCTAGGATCTCTCTCCTTCTTGTGTGGTTCCACTTAGGAGAAAAATTACAGATCTGGGGTTTCTTAGCATGAAATTAGAGCATGGAATTCAACACTTTGATCAAGCAGTGTTATTCTGTTGCCCTTTTTCACCTGAGAGATATTTATGACTAAAAAGAGTTATTTAGAGCAGTGATTTCCAAAAGGCTTTCTGCACACCCTTTCAGATCTGTTATACAATCCACTGATGTATGCAAGAAAATATTTGAACTTCAATTTATATTTATTTTCTATTGTACTTTAAAAGGTCCATTATATATGTTTCTGTAATAATCTGCATACATAGAGTACTATATTATAATTTATAAATAAGTAAACATAGGATGGTTGTACCTTTTTAAAAAACTGTTAAGATACCTTCCTTAAAATGTTTGGAACTACCGATGTACAGCATTTTTCTAAAATGAGCCAATGATTAGATTATTCCGGGAACTTTTTTTTAAGACCGGAGATTCCTGAGGCTACTCCAAGAAGATTCTAGTTAAATAAGTCTGCCTAGAACAGTGGTTATCCAACATTAGTTACATCAGACTCACCTGGACCCCACCCCAAAGTTTCTGATTTCAGTAGGTAAGGGAGGGGGCCTGAGAATTTGCATTTCTAACAAGTTATCAGGTGATGCTGCTGGTCCAGGGACCCACTTTGAGAACTGCTGCTCCAGTGGGGGACTCAGGACACAGGTGACTCCAGAGATGAGGTGATGGTACTGATCTAGATTTGATCATCTCCCATCCTAGGCAGTTCTTACAGATATTCCATCATTTTGTTTTCCTTTCTTACTCCTGTTGCTATGTTAGAGGGAAACAACTGTTTTTCACACTGTAGTTTTCAATATTGGTGTGGAGGCTAAGAGCACCAGTGTTATATTGACGTAGATTTGAATTTACAGGGAATTCATATGAGTGGTTTAATTAAATCCTGTAATTAATGTAATCCTGTACTCAATGAGGTACTTATTTGTATGTGGATGGAAAACTGAGACAGTCAGGTCCATAATGATTTGGCTGCATCTGTATGATATTTGGGAATAGAAATAACACCATTAACCATTCAACATACACAGATTTTAAGATCAATAAGAAAAATACATGGTGGTTTGTCACAACCAGGCCTTTTTTAAAATTGGGAATCAAGAGATTGATATGAAATGAAGTATGAGTAAGTGTAACAAGCCACAGAAACTTTAAGAAAAGGAGAACTCCTTTCCTTTGAATTATATAAAATACATCCATTGGCAAATAGCACTTTTTACAATACAGCATAGCATTAGCTGTTTCAATGCCTGCACAATGTGTAAAACTACTTGCTAGATTAAATTATGTAGAAGAGCATTTCTATAACGCTTAGTGTCTGACTCACTGACCATCAGTGGGGCACTCAAAGTTTAAGAGGCATTACATGCTTTCCTTGTTGGGCAGACAATTAAATGTAGATGTTACTGGGACTGATTTACAAGAAGAAGGCAGTGGCAATGTAGGTATAGGTTTGTTTTCGAACTCTTAAAACAATTATGTATATTACAGTTCACTTTCTGTTTGTCCTTTGAAATGTGTAGTTACGGCCATTTATCTCACAGTTTTAATTTGAAATAAATGGATAGGACCACTTGAGATTAGATGTATTTTAGGAAAATGGAACCTATAACATTAATTCTTTTGGGGGATACTTTAGCACTAGGTTTTGATCTGCCCTCTACAGAGAGACACATTTATGATTTTATACATTTGATAAAAGCTACTTTAATGGGGTCATTCTGTATTTAAAACAAATGAGAAAAGTGTTCCAGAAATCTCCTCAAGGAGTATTACTGTCTTTTTATAAAATAACTTTAAATGGACTGTAGTTATAACAAGAAGAAGGATTGCTAGAATATATGTCAGTTTAACCTGTTAAAGGCAGAACAATTCAAAATGTATCGATCTTATAAATAAGTTTTGAAATAACATTTGGTTGTCCTCCATTGGCTTCTTAGAAACAACACTTTCAGGAGCTTATTTACAATGCAATTCACATAACAATCAGTAAATAAATATTAACACATTTTTGTTTACTTACTCTATAGAGGTGCATTAAGGGTGAAAATGTGCAGACTGGAAAGAGTGTGAATGTTGGACTCAGACCTTGGTTGAACTGCTAGCCCCACAGGAAAGTCTGTGTGACTTTGGGTGACATATTTGACCACTCCAAAGAGCCTTTTGTAAAAATAAGGATGTACTAATGAAGTTCTAATCAGGAGACAGAAACCACATAGTAATCTGAACAGGGAGAGTTTAATATAAAGAATAATAACTGTAACAGTGGACTGGAATACAAGAGATTGGCTAGGACAAAGTAAAGAGAGCTCTAAGAATAAAGGAATAGCAGACATGAGGAGCAGCCACTGCTCCAGGGCAGAAATAGAGCGCCAGGGAGGAGATCCTTCTAGAGCTGACAGCCATGGCTCAGTGGATGACAGGGAAGTCACTGTGGGGCCTCACTGATAGAACTTGGAGGAAATGTGTCCTCTAGAGTGGCAGGGAAAGCTGCTCATGGGAGGTGTCCCTCTGGGAGTGCTCCGCTCCAAAACCACAGAGGGGATGCTGGGGCAAGCTGCTGTCTGCCGGGCACTGCTGGGAGCCAAGCCCTAGAGAAGCCAGGCATGGGGAAGACCCCTGCATTGCAGGCCTGGTGCTGGAAAAGCCTCATGTGCTGAGGAGGCTTCAAGGCAGCCCTGCAAGCTCACCCCTTCCTCCTGCAGGGCCTCTCCTGAACACTCCTCGACTGACAATGCTTAACATTTTGTCAACTGGGACACTGGCATTATTTTCAGTTTCTTGAGTTGAAAAGCAGATCATATAGAGAGAATTTCTATCAACACCAAAGCTCACAGCAAATCGTAAGTGATCATAACATAACCAAAATTGTATAATTCAGAAGATATAGGGGCCGTTCAGGAGCCTCTCTTCTGCTTAATGTTTCTTCACAAGAACAGAATAGGTGTATTTGTAACTTTAGATCAGACAGATTAGGTTATTTTGGACTCAAATCATTGCTTAATGAGAGGTATGGTCAGCACTTGATTATTCAGAGAGCAATTTGTATATTACTTGGCACCAGAGTTGCTTAAAATACTCTGACATTAGTATAATCATGAAAATCACCAGTAACCTAGAAAGGAAAGTGACAATACTGCTGATGCTATGAACGGCCTTTGCTGGATGATTTGAGAATTCTGTAGGGTATTGAATTGAGCTGTAGGTTCAGAAAGTTTATAAGATGGGCCCCCTGGCTTGGGAGTAGGACATGGAAAAGGAGGAGAACAAAAATCTATTTAATTTACACTTTGAAATTCCTATCTTTTGGGCATAGAAAGATGACATTTGAACTGTTGTTCTTTTTGGGGTTGGGGATTTTTTTTTTGCTTTAATACCCTAGGTTAATTTAAACTGTTTCTGAGGTTATCAGAGTATAAAATACTTAGTCTTTCTAGAATCTGAGAAAGGAGTCATTATAATAAGTGTTTAATACATTAAGTGCCAACATTTTGAATTTAACTTTAAGGCAATTTATTTTTCTAAAATGAATGATGCACTGATGCTCAAAATAGAGATATAGTAAACATAATTTGGCTTTTCTTATTGACTCATAATTCATAGGCTGAGTTAGGACGGAGGAGTGTGACTGGAGGTCTAGTTCCTTGAGCAGATCGGGGCAACCAGAGTTGAAAAGGATGATGCCCAGGACTTGCTTTCTCAGAAACATCCAGCATGTCCCTTTCTTTTTTCCTTTAGAGCCACTTTCAGATAAAGGTGGAGAGAAGCATGGGACCGAATGATCCTCTGGTTTGCAAGATTACTTTGTAAGTAATAACTAAGGGACACAAGGGTGCTATTTATTATTACGCAGGAACACCAGGTATAAACCAGGGCTGTCCAGGACAAAATAACGGTCATCCCAGTACTAAGTTGCATGTATTGAGCATATACTCTCTGCTCAGCATTGTGCTAAACACCTATGGCCATCATCTCACTTAAGCCACATGACAGCCCAGTGAGGTAGGTACTATTTTTTATCACTGAGATGGTTAATTTTGTATGTCAACTTGGCTAGGCCACGGTACCAAGTTGTTTGGTCAAATACCAATCTAGATGTTACTGTGAAGGTATTTTTAGATGTGATTAACATTTAAATCAGTAAACTTTGAGTAAACAGATAACGTTTCATAACATGGGTGGGCCTCATCCAATCCTTGAAGGCCTTAAAAGACTAAAGTTCCCTAAAAACGGCATTTTCTTCAGGACTGCACCATAGAAACCCTGCCTGAGTTTCTAGCGTGCTTCCCTGAAAAATTTGGACTTGCCAGCCCCCACAGTTGCATGAGACAATTCCTTAAAATCTCTGCTCTCTGATATATACTATCATATAACCAATATATACCATTGGTTTTGTTTCTCTGGAGAACACTGGCTCATGCAATTCCCATTTTACAGATGAAACGAATGCACAGAGAGGTTAATTAGCTCATCTAAAGTCAAATCACACAGTTCATAAAAGGAAAACATGAGATTTGAACCTAGATTTTTGGACTCCAGAGCTCAAGCTCTTTACTATTAAGCTCTGTTGCCTCTTAAAAACGTAAATAAACAAAACAACAACAAAAAACCCTAACATGATTTTTGTTTCAATTGGCCTGTCTTTCTGAGACTCTTCCTTGTTACTAACAGTTTCCTGGTGTTACTGAGCATCAACCAAAGCCTTTATGATGATTTGGTAGCCGTGTTACAGCGGGCCATAGGCACCTCTCGTTGAGACTATGCATTCTTCAATCACCCGTATACAGACTTTGTTCAGGGCATATAAAGGAGTATCCCTCTGCATTTTTAGAATTTCTGATAGGTGTTTCAGGGCAGAGACCTACTTTCCAAGCCTTCCAATAGATTATGTTTGTCATCATTAGTTAGCGCTAATTCAGATGTAACGCAATAGGCTGGCATTTCCCAAACCTGCTGGAATAGGTAACTCTCTGAACTTAATACTGTACTGGGCATAAGAAACATTAAAATTTTCATTTTTATATTACACTGAGAGCTAAAACCCTCTTTCTCATTAGTGCCATCAAATCGATTCCGACTCCTAGCAACCCTGTGGACAGCAGAGCAGAACCCTGTCCGGTGGTTTGTGCCATCCTCTCACCCTCGGGCGCTCTATCAGACAATGCCCTGCTGCTATTCACAGGGTTTTCATGGCCAATTTTTTCAGAAGTGGGTGGCCAGGTTCTTCTTCCTAGTCTTTCTTCATCTGGAAGCTCTGCTGAAACCTGTCCACCATGGGTGAGCCTGCTGGTATATGAAATACCGGTGGCATAGCTTTCAGCATCACAGCAACACGCAGCTGCCACAGTATGACACCCAACAGACGAGTGGTGTGGTTCCTGCATCAGGAAATGAACTCGGGCCATGGTGGCGAGAGCACAGAATCTCAACCACTAGACCACCAGGGCTGGCTACAAGTATAGCACACCTTTCAGAAATTACTGCTCATCAAAATTAGAGAAACTTATTCCTTTACAGGATCCTGTATATTATGTTTTAATTTTAAATTGGCTTAACCTAAAAAAAAATTTGTCTTTACATTAAGTATTTGCCTTGAAAAATCAGATTCTTATCCATCAGGTTTTCAGGAGGGAGTGGGGATGTACATGAGAAATTCAGAGAAAACATCATCATGTAAAATGAATCCTGCTTAAACTATTACCATGCTAATAGATATGGTTTTTAATAAATAGCATGGTTTTTAAATATTTAAAGACTTTTGTTCTATTATTATGACCTCAAGTATCTTGGACTCACAATTCGACTAAACTATGAATTTAACATTAAGTAAAAATTTCCATGAAGTGTAAAGAAAGAATGCTTTTTTTGTGTTACCCAGAGTAGGAGTTGTGCTGTTTTGCCTTCTCTTGCTGCTGCTAAACGTAATTCTTCAATATTTCTTTGTTCAGTCCTTTCTACAGCTGCAAGAAGAAGTACGTATTACTCTACTTTAGTCAGGATCCTATTAGAAAATTCATTACAAAAATGTGTAAAGAACAAAGTACCCACGGTGAGAAAGTCACAATGTTCTGATTGTAATTCAAACGCAGTTAGACTTTATTGCTGTTCTCACTGCCTTCCCTTTCCAATTAGAGTTCAACTTCTTTCAGGTTCAGATGAGTTTCTGGTTTTGATTCAGAAGTCTTTAAGCACATTACTCACTACAATACCCATCACAGATAATTATGAGTTACTTTCGCATGCTGAAATACTATTACACAGCTGCCTTAGAAAGGTAGATAAGTGGAGAGAGGGGTTTATACCTTCCCGAACCTTACACTGTGAAAAGTAATAATAAGAAATAGCATTGGTAGGAAGATTTACAAACCATATAAATATATTTAAATTTACATATACTCATATACATCCACATAAGAATATAAAGTTTATTTAACAAATACTATTGAACTTACTATGTGCCAAGGGCTATTGAAAGCACTTTAAAAATATTAACTTATTAAATCCTCATAACTACTGTATGAAGTGTTACTATTATCCTGATTTTATAGATGAAGAAACCAAGGCACCAAGAGGTTAAGGAACTTAACTGAGGTCACACAGCCGGGAAGGAGAGGAGTTGGGATTTGAACTTGGGTAGGCAGGTCCCAGAGTCCATGCTCTTCTTGCTACCTTACGCTCCTGATGCCACACTTGCAGGGAAAGGGAGCAGTGGGTAATCTAACTTGTTTAAGAGACGAGAATATGTAATAAGGTCTCATTTCTGCTAGATCTGAGTTCTGTTTTGGCTTACAGAAAAGAAGCAATTTCATAGAAAGACTTAGTAATCCCACTTAAAATATGTGTACAACGTCCTGTGCAAAGGCTGCAAGAGAGGAACCACACAAGGTTCCTTAGGTCTTCCTAAGAAATAATGAACAGTTATTAATAATTAGTAACTACTGTGCACTAACTGTTGTTCGAGACACTATGTGTGCCATCTCATCTCAACTACAGGGAACACACATCGTGAATACAGGAATAGCCGGATCTAGTTTAGCTCTGTCTTAAGAAATGACTAACATTACTACATACCGTCATCTTCCATTCTCACATTTTTATTTCCACATCCAGACTCCCTCTCTACCTCAGAGGAAGGTGGCCAAGCCTCTACGGAGGCTCTCAATGCCTTCTTCTTTTGCTGAGATTCACGCTCTCCAGTCTTTCCTCTCTTTGGTTCTATGGCTCCTGGACTGTGAGCTCTTTGCGAACAGTCCTGTCCCTATCTCTCTTTACATACCTCTACTACTCCATGTATTACCTGAGCTGCAATTTATGCCTTCAGTCATTCCTGCAGTGAGCTATCTGTGCTTACACTATCCAAGGCTTTTATGACACTGTCTGGCACAATGTATATTTGGCCAATAAATATTTATGGAATAATCAAATAATGCTTAATAATATTTGCTCTACACTTTAGGGAAGAGAGTAAAGAGCGCGCCCTAATGTTTCTTTCTAGATTGACTAGCCATGTAAATGAAGGAAAACAGACAAGGATTTGGAGTTGAAAACCCTGAGTATGTTCCTGGACATTTCCTGTCCTGTGTTCATTCAGGACACTGAAAGAAGACTGCTGATCCAGCCAATGAAAAGCCAATATTCCAGTTTGGTGAGGTGGGGCTTCTAGAGTGCTCGTAATGTGCTGTTCCCTGATGTGGGTGCTATTTACATGGATGTGTTCCATTTGTGAAAATAGTGAGTTGTACATTAATGATCTATACTTTTCTCCATATATTTTATACCTTAAAAAAAATTTTTTTAAGCAAATACTCCAACCAAAAAATATTGTTTGTCCTATAAATTTTAAATTTAATATGGTTATAAACTAAATCTTTTTTTTTTTTTGAGGAAGATTAGCCCTGAGCTGACATTGGCTGCCAATCCTCCTCTTTTTTCTGAGGAAGGCTGGCCCTGAGCTAACATCCATGCCCATCTTCCTCTACTTTATATGTGGGATGCCTACCACAGCATGGTTTGCCAAGCAGTGCCATGTCTGCACCCGGGATCTGAATTGGCAAACCCCAGGCTGCCTAAGTGGAACATGCGAACTTAACTGCTGTGCCACTGGGCTAGCCCCAAACTAAATCTTTATCTTTCTTTTCAATCAGAATCCAGAATCAGTAGGGATCACAGAGATCTAACTGCATCCTGATAGACAGTTATTTACATGCAGAGTAGGTTAATTAGTAGTATACTTGAAATGCAGGTGGGAACTTGGCAAATGCACTTCATTGATAGAAAAATTGCCACTTTGCAATCTCTACGTAGTAAGTGATTCAGCAAGAATTATCAATAAATGCTAAAACCATGGATTAAAAGTTTATTGGTAAACAGGATATTTGCATGGCCTCAACTTTTCTACCCACAGATTATTTATTAATTACAACGAGGAGAAGGTGTCTTTACAATGAACCACCGAGTTATCAGAGTTAACATCACCAGTAATAGAACAAAATGGCATCCTGGACCTCCTAATGTGATGCACAGGTAAAGAATACAGCCTCACCCACATATTATTTCTGCCAAAAATGCGTATGTTAACCTAATTATATGAAAAGAGAAAAACTCAAAATGAGGGATATTTTACAAACAATTCCATAAATGCTTTCCTCTTCAAAAAAGTCAAGATCGTGAAAGACAAAGGATAAAGAATTAGTCCAGATAAAAAGAGACTTAAAGCAATGTGACAATTAAATGCAGTGTGGGATTCTGTATTAGAACCTGGATTAGGCGGAAAAATGCTACAAAGGACATTATTTGGACAATTGGCAAAATTTGAATATAAGCTGTATATTATATAATATTATTATATTAATGTTAAATTTCCTGAAATTGACCATTAAATAGTGATTACATAAGAAAATATCCTTGTTCTCTTTTTTTAAAGATTTTTTTTTCCTTTTCTCCCAAAGCCCCCTGGGTACATAGTTGCGTATTTTCAGTTGTGGATCCTTCTAGTGGTGGCATGTGGGATGCCATCCCAGCATGGCTTGATGAGTGATGCCATGTTCGCGCCCAGGATTCAAACCCACGAAACCCTGGGCCCGCCGAAGCAGAGCATGTGAACTTAACCACTCTGCCAAGGGGTCGGCCCCTATCCTCATTCTTAAGAGATACATACTGAAGTATTTAGGGCTAAAGTATCACTATATCTGCAAATTACTCCCAAATAGTTCAGCAAAGTTAAAGGTAAATAAATAACATTAAATAATATATAAAAGGATAAACCAGATGTGGCAACATGCTAATGATTGGTGGATCTAAGTGAAGGATATACAAGTGTTCATTTTACTATTCTTGAAACTTTCCCACAGGTTGGAAACTTTTCGAAATAAAAAGGCAAATGATATGTAGGAGAAGAACGTATCCCTCTCTAGTGCCTGGTAAGCAGTAACTACCCTTTCCTGAACATCTCCAGTCGTGGGAAACTCACTACACTTTGCAAATTAACTCAAGCCATTACTACAATACACTGGATCCAAAGATAAACTCCCTGGCACTCCATCAACTAGGCCGTGAACTAGGCCTGGTCTGCCACAAACAAGATGATCCCTCCTCCAATCTAACAGCTGTTCAGATACTTGGGTATGATTTTGTTGTGTCTACCAATGTCTGCATTTCTGAGGTGAAACATTTCCTGTCTCTTCGAGCATTACCCTGTGATGTGGTTTCTGGTCTGCCTTGGTCTTTGGCGGGTTGCTGGATACACTCTCTGCAGTCTGAACCATTCAATGTGCTATCAGCAAATGATGTTATATCTGGCCAAGGTGATCTCACCAAAGCAGAATCACTCAGTTAAGTTTCTACTTCTATTTCCCGGGCCAGGACCATATCAGCTGACAAATCACAGTACCCATAATGCCAACTAAGCCCTTGTCCTTAGTGCATTTGGGTTCTGGGGAGGCAATAGGGCATGTCTTTATTACTGGGCCCATTAAATGTCAACTTGTCAGGCTAACCTAACATTCCAGTTTGTCAGGAGAACCTCAGTTCTGGGTTCTAATCTTTTTGTAATTAAAATAACAGGACAGGATCAAAAACATTACCTCATCTTCCCAATTAGAACACAATTTATCAAAGGGCTGGGATCACATCTAATAGGTTCAGTCTTCCAAAAATCACATAATACAGAGGCTTACAGAAGATGTTATGTGTTGATCTGCTTGTTCACTGAAAATGAGAGCGTTCATTTTAAATGCAAGAGCAAGTTAAGACACTGACCTGAAGATGTCTGACAAGTGGACATTATTTTGTAACTAGAGAACAAGAGAAGATTTTTAGTTCTCAAAGACATTTGGAAAGAAGTACAAAGAAATCAACATGCTTTAAATACAAAATTATCTTGCCCTTCTCTGGATTGCAAAGGAAAGATACACAGGATGTGTATGAAATCACAACTCTAATTCAATATTTTTATTCATAAAGTAGTAATGAAGAAATTTTCTCTTCTCTACCATAGAAATACTACTAAAAAATAATTACAGCAAAGCCCTGGCCATTTGGAGGATAATCCTAATGCATGAGGGCTTCCCAATGTAAGCATCAAATTTTTTTGTTTTAAACTATTTTAGAGAAATCACTCTGAGTCATTGAAGACTCATATGTCTTCTCAAATGCAATTTAACGTTTGAAGTTCATAACAATGAAGCTGGTCCATAAAGAAATTACTGTTGGCTGTTGTACCACAATGAAGTCTTCAGGACAATAGAACCAGCCAGAGCTATCTTCCCCCCAATCAAATGACTCCAAATAGCTATACCTCTTATGGTTTCTGTCCTGCCCGACTGTGTTCCTTCATCATCATGCTTCTGCAGCCTATCGGCCACACTCTCTCATGTCTCTAATTTTCTACTTTGAATTTTGTTGGGGATTAGATAAATGGGCTTTGAAAACATGCCATAATATTGTATAAAGTAAGAATTTAAAAGCTGTAAGTGAGGAAACTCTCATAGATAATTTCATGTCTAACCAATGACTCCCAAATTACATTATCTTTAGATCATAGGCTTGGTGTCATCTATTTTGGCATCTCAGAAGCCATTTCTACTTACATTCTGGGCCTTGGCTATAATTAAAGTAAATGCTGTTTATGTTAAGATCCATAATATTTACCTTCAAGCATGTTTCTGATTTCTTTGTCCTGAGTGACTTCTTTTGCTGTCTGTCCACTCCCATTAATAACAGCAGTATCAGCATTATATACTGACTCCTAAAAAAGCAGAGAAATTATTTTTAGCTACTATTTTTGTATTATGTATAGTCTTTTTCCAAATTACTAATTACTACTGAGTTTCTACAACAGAATCAAGTACTATGTAGGAATCTTTATATCATATCAGTTATGTCCACAGTAAGTGACTACTATTACAATAAGTTGAATACTACAGCTCAATTAATTCTAATAATAACTGGTGATTGTCCAAATAATTGCCAATTCACAATTAACACAGACAACTTCTATAATTGATTTCTTAGGTAAATTATCTGGTTGTTTTACCAAATTGATTCATGTGGTCAAACTAAATGAATAAGTTAACAAAGCCATTATTTAAATTAGAACAGATAGCACATTCGTTTAACATTATTCCTCCAAAGATTTTTGAGAAAAATAATTTCTCCCAACAGATCTAGATTTTTTTAAAGTTAATTTTGATGTATATAAGAAATAGAACATTATTTTCTAAAGTGATGTACACTGATAGGATACACCACTATCAAGAAGATGGTTTATAATGAAGCAAATTATCTCCTAAAGTCAATATTCAACAATGGAGAATAAATTTTTACTCTAAGTGGCTAACTGCTCTTTCAGGGATTTCAAACTAATTGGTAATGTATATATATATATCTAGGACCACTGGCTCAGTTCAGTTATACAACGTAAGACAGTAGAAATGGAGAGAATGCAAAAGATTTGCAGGAGAATATTAGAAATTTGATGTTTAATTTTAAAGACTTGACGGTAAGATGTGAAACCATAAAACTCCTAGAAGAAAATATAGGCAGTACACTCTTTGACATCAGTCTTAGAAGGATCTTTTTGAATACTGTGTCTACTTGGACAAGGGAAACAAAAGAAAAAATAAACAAATGGGACTTAATCAGACTAAAGAGCTTCCCCAAGGCCAAGGAAACCAGGAACAAAATGAAAAGACAACCCACCACTGGGAGAAAATATTTGCAAATCATATATCCAACAAGCAATTAATCTCCAAAATATATAAAGAACTCACACAACTCAACAACAAAAAAACAAAGAACCTAGTCAAAAAATGGGCAGAGGATATGAACAGACATTTTCCCAAAGAAGATACACAGATGACCAGTAGGCACATGAAAAGATGTACAACATTATTAATCATTAGGGAAATGCAAATCAAAACTACAATGAGATATCCCCTTAAACCTGTTAGAATGGCTAGTTGGAGAAGATGTGGAGAAAAGGGGTTCCCACCATACACTGCTGGTGGGAATGCAAACTGGTGCAGACACTATGGAAAACAGGATGGAAATTTCTTAAAAAATTAAAAATAGAAATACCATATAACCCAGCTATCCCACTACTGGGCTGTTTATCCAAGGAACTTGAAATCAGCAATTGAAAGAGACCCACGCACCCCTATGTTCATTCTAGCATTATTCACAATAGCTAAGAAGTGGAAGTAACCTAAGCACCCATCGACTGACAAATGAATAAAGATGGGGTATATATAGAGAATGGAATACTACTCAGCCATGAAAAAGACAAAATCATCCCATTTGCAACAATATGGATGAACCTTGAGGGTATTACGTGAAGGAAAATAAGCCAGACAGAGAAAGACAAACACCACATGATTTCATTCATATGTGGAAGATAAACAAACACATGGACAAAGAAAACAGATTTGTAGTTACCAGAGGGGAAGGGGGTTCAGGGGTGGGCATAAGGGATAAAGGGGCACATATATGTGGTGACTGACAAATAATAAAGTACAACTGAAATTTCACAATGTTATAAACTATTATGACCTTAATTTAAAAAAATGTGAAATGGCTATATACTGTATGAATCCAAGTATATGACATTCTGGAAAAGGCAAAACTACGGAGAAAGTAAAAAGATCAGCGGTTGAGGTGGGGAGAGGGATGAATAGGTGGAACAAAGAGTATTTTTAGGGCAGTGAAAATACTCTATATGATACTATAATGATAGACACACATCATCATGTATTCCTCTAAACCCAAAGAACATACAACCACAAGCATGAACCCTAAGGTAATCTATGGACTTTGGGTGGTTATGATGTGTTGATGCAGGTTCATCAGCTATAATGAGCGGACCACTCTGGTGGTGCATGTTGATAATGGGGGAGGCTATGCATGTGTGGAGACAGGACATATATGGGAAATCTCTGTATCTTCTCTGAGTTTTGCTGTGAACCTGAAAATGCTCTAAAAAATCTGTCTTTAAAATAAAAACACTTTAGAGGACTGGCCCCATGGCCGAGTGGTTAAGTTCGTGTGCTCCACTTTGGCCGCTCAGAGTTTCAATGGTTCAGATCCTGGGCGCGGACATGGCACCGCTCATCTGGCCATGCTGAGGCAGTGCCCCACATGCCACAAGTAGAAGGACCCACAACTAAAATATACAACTATGTACTGGGGGGGATTTGGGGAGAAAAAGCAGAAAAAAAATATTGGCAAAAGTTGTTAGCTCAGCTGCCAATCTTTAAAAAAAAAAAAGTAAAATAAAAAGACTTTAAATAAATGGGCAAAGGACTTCAATAGACATTTCTCAAAAGAAGAATGACCAAAAAGTACATGAATAGATGCTCAACATCACTAATCATTATGGAAATGCAAATCAAAACCAAATGAGATACTATTTCACAACCATTAGGATGCCTAAAACTAAGAAGACTGACAATAACAAGCGTTGGTGAGGATGCGGAGAAATTAGAACCTTCATACAATGCTAACAGGAATGTAAAATGGTGCAGCTGCTTTAGAAAACAGTGGCAGCTGTTTTCTATTTGGCAGCTCTGCAAAATAATAAACACAGATATACCACACGATGCAGTAATTCCACTCCTGGTATCTATCTAAGAGAAATGAAAACATATGTCCACAACAAAATCCTGCACATGAGTGTTCAGAGCAGCATTATTCATTATTCATAATATCTGAAAAGTGAGAACAACCCAAATGTCCATCAACTGATGAATGGATAAATAAAATGTGGTATGTCCCTACAATGGAATATTATTTGGCAATAAAAAAGAATGAGGTACTGATATATGCTATGAATGAATGAACTTTGAAAATATTATGCTAAGTAAAAGAAGCCAGTCACAGAAGACCATGCATTGTATGCTTCCATTTATATGAAATGTCTAGAATAGGCAAATCCATAGAGACAGACAGGAGATTAGTGATTGCTTGGGTCTGAGGAGAAGGGGTAATAGGGAGTGATGGCTTATGAATACAAGATTTCTTTTTGGGGTGATGAAAATGTTCTAAAATTGATTGTGTTGACGGTTGCACATATCTGTCAACATATTCGAACCACCGCATTGTACTTTAGATGAGGAATTGCATAGTATATGAAATAGGTCTCAATAAAATTATTTTACAAAAGGTAGTAGAGATAGTCTGGCACCATATGGCACATTCAAGTTAAGGAATGTTATTTCTCACCTATTTAATACCTCATCTAACTGTTTTATACCATTTTTGCAACTGCACAGAGTTGTTTTTTTTTTAGGAAGATCAGCCCTGAGCTAACATCTGCTGCAAATCCTCCTCTTTTTGCTGAGGAAGACTGGCCCTGAGCTAACATCCATGCCCATCTTCCTCTACTTTATATGTGGGACGCCTACCACAGCATGGCTTGTCAAGCGGTGCCATGCCCGCACCCAGGATCCGAACCAGTGAACCCTGGGCCCCTGAAGTGGAACATGCACACTTAACCACTGCGCAACTGGGCCGGCCCCTGCACAGAGTTTTAATAATTAATTGTCTTGATAACAGCTTTAGGAAGGCAATAAAAGCTAATATGGAACCTGATTGACATAAATCCCCAAAGGGCCAGACTATAGAGAATGGACAGAGGGAATGGTATACACAAAGGTACGGAGAGATACATTTGCTAAGGAAAGAGGATATAGGGTAGGGGGAAAATAGGGCGGTGTAGAATGTGAAGTAAGAGTTGTTAGGCAATCTCAGGGAGTTCAGGTTGTCCTAAAAGCGAAGGGACAGCACTGCAAGTCCTCAAGGGAATGATATCAGATTGCAAGTCAGAAAGATCATCTGACCACTGTATGAGGAAGACCCAGAGCAAAAGTTCTCAGTGTGATCCCCAGACCTGCAGTAGCAGCATCACCCATGACACTGGCAGAATTCCACTTTCTCAGGCCCCAGCTCAGACCCACTGCCGTCTCTCCACACTCTTATTATTCACTTAAAATGCTTAAGCTCTTAACATTGTACCAGGCCCTCCACACGTGAGAAAAATTACACAGACAATGACTACTGAAGGGATATGAGAAAGAAAGTGCTGACAAAATCAGAGCTGAGATTAGGATGCTGACCGGGGCATCCCTGTATAGGATGGAATGAAGAGATTGGAAAAAATGAGAAAAGTAACTGGGAGACAGAGCAGTCTAGGAGAAAAGCAATGAGTATGTTCTCAAGCAGAGACAGTAACAAGGAGTATTTAAAGTGAAAAGTATTTCAATGACCAACTCAAATATTGCATAAGGAGCAGGTGTGAAGGAAGAGGCGTCCCATTTTTAGAAACATGAAATTTCAGATAGCTGAGGGGCAAGTAAGGATACCCACCATGCAACTAAACAGAAGACCTGGATGCCTGGAGAGGAGGATGAGGTCAAAACACAAATTTCCAAATAATCTCCCAGGAAAAATAGTGAAGCCATAAGAGGTTTGGTAGGGGAAAAAATTCAAGGGAAAAGGGAAGAATGATTAAAAAAAAAAATCAGAGGGACATCTATAATGAATATGGGTAACGGAAAAAAAGAAAGATAAGAACCATTAAAGCAGCCAGAGATGCAAAAAGAGAAATAGACTTATAGTGTCACCTCCTAGAGAGCGATCGGTTTCCTTAAAGCATAGATATAGAAAAACATGAAAACAGAGCCATTAAAAATAGTAAGGGTTTACTGATGGCCTTTAGAAAAACAGTTCAGTTAACGGGTAGAGTCAGGACCT